TTCACTCTTTTTCAGGTTTAATGGATTTGAAATATTGGGTGAAACCAGACTAAGCGTTGAAGAAAGAAAATTTATCCACTAGACTTTATTTTCGGGATGCAGAAAAGATAAAGTTTACCGTACAAACCAGACACAGTTGATGAATTGAGGGCACACAGATACCCAACGAAATGATTCTTGATGTTTGCAATTCCATTGCTTCACCTTGTCAGCAGTGCCTAGACCAGAACAGTCATCAGTTTGAAAATAGGCATTGTCACACACAAAAAATTATTCATTCCTGTAGATTTTTTTTTAATTTTGAAAACAAACTGTATATCAATAAACACTGGCTTTATAATCATTCAAAATGTGTATATAACATTTGGGGGGGACTACCCTATATATAACAATGTTCCCAGAATTTGCTTGAAATGTTTAAAAACTGGCAACAACTTAAATTCCTTTCAAGAAGAGACTGTACAACTTAGGGAACACTCATAAGATGAATTTCCGTACCACTCAGCCGTAAGCAGGAATAAAGTTACTTTTAATGTACTGACAGGAATAATGACTAATAGATAGTGAAAAAATTGTATGAGAGTATAAAGTATAGTCTCATTTTGTTTTGACACAGTGGATAGAGCCTCAGCCTGCAGACTGAAGGGTCCTGGGTTCGATTCTGTCCAAGGGCACATGCCTCGGTTGTGGGCTAGATCCCCAGTAGGGGGTGTGCAGGAGGCAGCCGATCAATGATTCTCTCTCAGTTGATGTTTCTATCTCTCTATCCTCCCTTCCTCTCTGAAATCAATAAAAATATATTTAAAAAAACAAAAACAATTTAAAAGTATTATATACTAGTATAGCCCTGGCCTGTTTGCTCAGTGGGTTGAGCACTGTCTCATGCACCAAAAGGTAGCTGGTTCAATTCCTGGTCAGGGCACATACTCAGGTTGGGGGTTCAAGCCCTGGTGGGGGTACAGGATGGACAGAAACATCCCTTCCTCCCTTCCTCTTTCTCTAAAATCAATTAAAACATATTTTTAAGAAAAAAAACAAGTATCTGCAAAAAAGAAAAAAGTGCGGGTAGGCAATAAACCAAACTGTTCATGGGTCTTACCTCCGGAGATTGGGGATGAGCCATGGGCAGGGACTTCCATTTTTTATTTTATCGATTTCTCCAAACTAGTTAAACAAAGCAAGTTTGCAATTAAAAATTTTTAAAAATGTTTTGAACTCGGAATTATTTGCAGAACAAGCCCCGAAGGTACTCCCTGAGTGCCCAGCCTTCAAGCCTTCGGGTTATGTAGGTCGGTGAATGGAGGTGGGTGAAGGCGGCAGCAGCGAGATCCTTCCTCGAGGCACTGGCCCTCGGGACAGGATGCCCCTGCACTTCATCCTATTGACCTCAGAGCCGGGCTAGCGGTACAGCACCGGGGAGAGGGGAGCCTGGGCTCCCGTCACCCATCCCTGTTGAGAAAATAACGCGCCGCTTCCCATCTGAGAAGCGCCTTGCACGCGGGACACGGATCTGGATGCGGGCAGCGCGGGCCCCCCACGGGTGGCGTCCGGGGAGGTGACCTGGCCCGGCGGCGGCGGCGGGGAGGGCAGGGATCCCGCCGCCTCCGTCCTCCCGCTTCGCCGCGTCCGAGGCGAAAGCTGCAAGGTCCCGGCCCGCGGGCCGCGGAGGGGGCGCCCGCCGCGCAGGGGCTGCTCTGCAAGTGGGAGCCGCGCGGGCGCCCCTCGTCCGCAGCGTTGGCACCTGGGGAGGCGTCCCTTCGCTGGGGGGATGTTTCTCCGGGTTTAGTGACCCAGCCCGGGCCGGACAGGTGTGTGGCTCCGCGCCCCTGCCTTCGACCCTTACAGTCCGGCCCGAAGGCAGGCAGCACTCGCCCCATTTTGCAGAGCAGGCGGCGACCGCGAGGCGAAGAACCTGGCCCAGGTCGCCAGGCATCACCCGGGCGTCCCCCACCCTAGACGCTTCCCATGTGAATGTGATGGGCCTGAGTGCTCCTTTCTCTCCCTCAATGGCCGGCCCGGAGAATGTGAACGCGGCCTTGGAGCGCCCGGTAAGCGTCTGGCCCCTGCTTTTCGGAGCCGGGCAGCCTTCCCCGGGGGACGGACAGGTGTGGCGGCGCGGGCGACCGCTCCTCGGCGCTGAAAGTCACATTTAAGAAGTAAAAGCCCGATCCGGCTGGCGTGGCTCGGGGGCTGAGCGTGACCTAGGAACCAGGAGGTCAGGGCACAGGCCCGGGTGGCAGGCGCCACCCCCAGTGTGAGGCGTGCAGGAGGGAGCCGATCCATGATTCTCTCACCATTGATGTTTCCATCTCTCTCCCCCTCTCCCTCCCTCTCTGAAATCAATAAAAACAGTAAAAGCCCGGCGCAGAATACACAACCACCCGAAGCCTCGGGGGCGTTACGGGCACCGCCAGGCTCCCCACGACGCACCAGGGGCGAACGACCCCCCGGCCCTGGAGTTTGCAACCGCCTTCTGCCAAGCTCGGCTCTGGGAAACATGAAGCCGAAGGCGGGGGCGCGGCCCCGGGCGGGGGTCCTGGCCCTTAGGCTCCGATTCAGAGTCTGGGCGCCGGCAAACGGGCTGATCCAGGGACCCTGAGCCCGGAGCCCGCACGCGTGGCACACGCCTGGCGGCAATAGCGCCGCCGCAGAAGCCGGTGGCGAGCGCTCCCGGCCGGGTCCCGGCGAGGGGTTGGGAGAGCCGGGGAGTGAGGAGCGCGACCCCTGGGGGCTGGGGGCTGAGGGCGAGTCGGCGTCCGCCAATGGCTGCGGGTGGGCGGGGACTAGACTGGCCTGGGGGACCTGCGTGGGCCGGGTCCTCTCCCCTCTTAGTTCATGGGGCAGGGACCCTCTAAACTGCCCCCGCCCGGCCCGTCCAAGTTCATTGAGGAGTTAAATCACTACCCACCTGGTTTATGGTCTTGCTCTGCCACTACAATATTTTTTCCTGGCCTCGAGAAATTATTTACTCTTGTTGCGCTTATGTAATTAAGGCTAATAATATGTTATAGCACCTAATAGAACTCATACACACACTTTTAAAACACATTAGTGATGGATTTTTTACATGCATTAGGTCAATTTTGCTCAATTTTCTTCACTATAGTATTTCTAGTTCCTCAAAGTAGCCTCCATTTTTAACACCAGCTATTAAATAGAA